TCTTGACATACATGCACTGGCAGCATGTTATTCTGCATATGGTAAGATGGAATGGCTGAAATAACACTCTTAGCTAGAGTGATCCTACCAGCCATAGAAAGGCACTTTGATTTCCACCCTTGAAGCCTTCCTTGCACTCTAGAAATAACATCTGCATAGTGATCCCTCTTGATTCTTCCATGTCTCAATAAAGACCCCAGATAGCAGCCCAGATTACTCACTTTTTTAAACCCACTAGCCGCAGTAATAACATTCACTGTTTCTGGAGGCACATTCTTGGAGAAATAGATGCAGGATTTCTCCACACTCACACTTTGCCCAGACATCTTGGAAAAAAGCTTCAAACAACGATTGATAGACTCCAATTGAGAAGAAGAAGCCTCAGCAAACATCACAACATCATCTGCAAACATTAAATGTGAGATAGGAGGACCTGACTTGCCAGCCCTTATTGGGATCCACTTCCCAGACTCCACCTCATCCAAAATTAGATGTGTCAACTTTTCCATACACAAGACAAAAAGATAAGGGGATAATGGGTCCCCTTGTCTAATTCCTCGTTGAGTATGAAACCCAGGAGTCCTAGCTCCATTCCACAACACCTCCATGTAAGGGCTAGTCACACAACCCATAATGACCTCCACCAACGCTCCTGGGATCTTCACTTCCTCCAGAACAGCCCTAATGAAGCTCCAATTCAACTTATCATAAGCCTTCTCTAGATCAATTTTGATAGAAAAGAAACTTTTTCTACCCTTCATTCTATGCATAGCATGAACGAGCTCTTGAGCAATGATGATATTGTCTTGAATATGTCTTTTGGGCACGAAACTAACCTGGTTAGGGGATATAAGGCTACCTAAGATAGGCTTAATCTTATTTGCAATGATCTTGCTGAGTCCTTTGTATAGAGTATTACAAAGGGCTATGGGCCTGAACTGTTTCATAAGACAAGGCCTATCCACCTTAGGTATAAGAGCTAGGAGAGTATGATTAACTTCCTTGATTAGCCCCGGCTGAGAAAAGAAATTCTGCATATTTTCAAACACTTGGTCTTTAAGGAACTCCCAATTCTTCTGGTAAAATAAAGCCGGAAAACCATCCGGTCCAGGAGCTTTCAAGGGAGCCATCTGAAAGAAAGCAGCTTTCACCTCCTCCATAACAATACCCTGAGCAAGGAAAGCCAAATGATCTTCCCCTAAGTCTGGCCAAGAGTTATGAGTATGATAAAATCCAGTATTTACAACCTCTTCTTTGAAGAGATCAATAAAAAAATTTCTGGCCATATCAATAAGAGCTTCCTCCCCATTTATCCAATGACCAGCCGCATCTTGAAGCTTAATAATCTTGTTCCTTTTCCTCCGGATAAGGGTACTAGTATGATAAAATCTAGTATTTCTGTCACCATCCCTTATCCACTCTCCCCTGGATTTTTGGAACCAAAGCTGCTCTTCTTGATCAAGGATACCAGCAAGTTCTTTTCTCAAATTGGCTTCTAACTTTTCTAAATTCCTGGAATTGTTACAACTACTCAGCTTCTGAATCCCATCCAGTCTAGCTATGATTCTGTTTTTTTTGTATTGAATAAAGCCAAACACATTTTTATTCCAATCCTTAAGAGCAGGAACAAAGGATTTCAAGCTGTCACACATGTTATTACCCTTCTTCCAGTTATCTCTAAAAAAACTATTGAACCTAGGATCACACTGCCAAGAGGCAAGGAACCTAAAAGGCCTTTCCCTCCAAACATAATCCTCCTTCCCCAATCTGACCAGAATAGGGCAGTGGTCAGAAAACAATCTAGGAAGAGTTAGAACATCAGCATCTTCAAAAGAGGTTCTCCAACACTCATTAGCCACTGCCCTGTCCAACCTCTTAAAAATCCTATTCAAATGCAAGAACTTAGGGCCCCTCCAAGTGTATATGTTACCACCTCCCCCCAAATCCAGCACACCACAAGCATTCAAAACATTTGAGAATTGATTACATCTATTATAATCAACTGGACCACCTCCTCTCTTCTCCTGAGCACAAGCAATTTCGTTGAAATCTCCTGACACCAACCATGGATCATCCATAGTCCTCCCAATCAATTTTAAGTCTTCCCACAAGCATCTGCGTTTCCCCTCAAGAGGGCTAGCATAAACTGTCGTCCAGTAAAACCCTTTCATCTCAGCAAACTCAATCCAACAATGGATGAATTGGTCTTGCTTGGAAATAAGAGAAACCTTAACTTCATTAGAATTCCACAACAGCCAAATACCCCCAGAAAAACCATGAGCATCAACTACAATATGGTTAGAAAAACCCAATTTATTGATTACTCTAATAGCTTTTTTCCCACTCACTCTTGGCTCCAAAATAGCAGCCACCCCAACCTTATGCTTTATTCTGAATCTACTAAAGGTACTCCTAAACTGCCTCTTAGCAGCCCCTCTACAGTTCCATATGAAGACATTCATGATAAAAATTGATTTTTTTGCAAGATCACAAAGCTCTTGCTGCTTTCATCTTGATTTCCAAAACCAGAATTCTGGTTTTCAAAACAACTATCACCACCAGTAACATAATTACCAGACATTATGCTATCTGAAATAACAGTATTAGGTAAGACTACCTCCATACATGCAGTTTCCTCCACCAGCTTAACAGGCTCTCCCATGTATTGATCCGGAGGTTCAGGTTCTTTCTGAGAGTCAGCAGCCACCATATCATCAACTGCAAACTTGTCCGCAATAAGATCAGACCCATTCAAAACTGGGTACAACACCCCTGCTCCGTTTTCTGCTCCCTCCAGGCCAACCTTGCTCTGAGTTAGAGAGCTACTGCCTGATCCAAGGCTGATAGTAGGGTCCCAGCCAACTCCTTTGCCTTTTTGGGAAGAAGACTTAACCACATACTTCTTGGAGCCCACCACCAAGGACTTGTTCCCAACATTTTTTTTAACAGAGCTATTAGCCGCAGCTGAGAAAAGCATTCCCAGAACTGGAGATTCTGATTTGGAAGTCGAGGAGACATTTTCCTTGTTCACCATGGGGCTTGAAGGTCCAGGCTTAGATTGCTTAACACTCACCCCTTTAGAGAGACTCTTTTCCTTATTAACTCCAGCCTTCTGACCCACCATGCTCCTCTTATTAGAAATATCCTCACCAAAAGCTCTGATTAGTCCAGATTCCTGCTTCTGAAGGGCTTGCTGATTTTTCTTTCTACGTTGAACTACCATCCAAGGCCCTACGCCCTGAGGACTATTACTCTCCATAGGCTGTGCAATAGGCTCCTCTGGCTTGTTCTCAGGTGGAGACTTGACATAATCTGGACATGAATCAGAGTTGTGTCCATATCTCCCACACCTTAGACAAATCAAGAAAAGCCCTTCATACTCCACCCTCTTTCTGCGTCCATCCAAAATATACTCACCTCTTAAAGGCTGAGCAAGATCAAGCTCAATGCAGACCCTAGCAAATCTTGCTCTATCACCGGTAGATGTTGTCTTATCCACCTTAATAACTTTCCCTATCACCGAACCCAAATGATTCAAGAAGGGGAATTCACAGTATTCCTGCGGTATCCCTGGGAGACGGATCCAAGCAGCTACTTTATGGATGTTGGCCTTATCAGGGTCAAAACACGGTTCCCACTTCCTAGTTGCAAGGTAATGCCCAAGGATGACCCAAGGTCCACCCGTGATTGCCAGATTCATGTCCTCCAAACTGCTAAATCTGACCGAGAAGAACTCATTTCCAAGATCTGCAACCGTAATACTTCCAGCCTTCGCCCACATCGCCTCCAGCCTCTTCTTCATGAAGCCGACGCCAATCTTCCTTCCCAACAATTTCACAATCAAAGCATTCTTCCATCGTTGACACATGCGAGCTCTAGCCTCCTTATTGCTCCGAATTTCAACAGCACCATCCTCCCTAATTATGGTCTGAAACCCCCACTCAGAAATCGCACCCAAATTGGGATCCAGAGGCTCCAAGTCTGGTTCCTCCTCTTCAATCAACCATGGAGCGTTGTCGCCTGACACACCATGCTCCACTCCAGTCACCTCTGCAAAGGATCGCGCCTTTTCCTTCATGGATGATCCAGCTTGAAAATCCTTGATCGCTTCACGCATCACCACCTCCGTTGGAATTGCCTCACCATTCTTAGTTCTTTTCATACTCTTCCTTGCCGTAAGCAAAACCTCATTCTCACAATCATTCATCGTTTACCGAAGATCAGATTCAAAGAGAAGAAAAACAAAAGGAGCAAAAAAACCCTAACAGACAGAAAAAATATCGCACGCGTAGTCACACGCGCCTAACCCATTTTTTCTGTGCGTTTCTTTTACTTTCTTTTAGGATCACTTAAGTTCATGATTTTTTGCAGTCCCACAACCTTATGTAACAGGTCATCTAGGAAGTGTGAGATGAAAGAAAGGAAAACATTTGAAAAGTAGTTTATAAGGTTCAGAATATGAGGAAAAAATGGGAATCAATAATCGCACAAGGAACATGATGTGAAAGCTGTCGTAACAGAAGCAACAAGCCAAAGACAATTTCAACAGATTTAATCAGGATTGTCAGATTGATAATTGGCCTAGAATAACAGAATCTTGAACTCAAAAAATAGTTTGGGTCACCTATGGCAGAGGATGCAGCATGTGCCCACCTTATTTTAGGTTCGAATACACAGTTAATCATTTATCTGAGAAGGTTTGGTGTGGGCTGGCAGGTATTTAATCATGTATATCTACAAAGTCAATTCAACTTCAATGAAGGTTTGTTGACACGTGCACAGTGTACATCACTCATTTTGACCAAAAAAATCTAATATTAAGTAGGGCCAAAATTCTGTTACTATGGAATGGGCTAAATATTCCAAATGCCACTTGGAATAAACTATTTATTACTTTCACTTTGTTCATACATGAAATTTCTTAATAGAAAAACAAAGAAATTGCCTTCTGGTTGAATAATGGTGTATTGGTGTAAGACCTTTTTATAGAAATGTGTATGTGGGGGCTCAATGCTTCATTATTGAAAGCCCCGTAATGTATGGAGTAATATTCAGTAGAATAGCTTGACTATGTACATAGCCATTTGCAAGATTGGGCCTTTGCAATCGGGAGGCGTAAAAATCAACAGCCCGAAGTGATGGGACATCACTTTTGGACTTAGATACTTTCTATAATAAGATCCGCACCACGTCTAGCAAATTGTTGGATCACAGGATCTAGCCGCATAGGGCCTCAACTGAGAGCTTCTTTGGAATTCCTGGACATGGGTCTCCCCCAAAAACTTCTGGAGCAACAGTTACCAAGCATGATTGCTTGCCAATGCAGTTCTAAAAAAGAAAAAAGAAAAAAAGAAGAGGACAATAAGCAGAGAATAAAAAGATAATACTAATAATAAGCAAGAAAGAGATGCATTATGCATAACATTTTAAAGCTAATCAGAAAGGATGAAATCATTCACAAGCAAATGATGTATCCGGTAATTCCTGTTTGTTGCTGCCATAAGAGTTTAGGAAGCATAGAAAACAAGAATTATGAGAGAAAGGGTGCGAATTAATACAAAATATCACGATTATTAATTATTATCATAGTTTGTAAATCATTAGAAAATCCGGGGACTAGTTAGTTAAGCGAGGCCTTTAAGATAACTGAGTGAAATTGTGTGACTGAAACAGCAGCATGTATTAGAAGATATATAAATTGTCAAAGGTTCTAGGTGATGATTTTATTAGGATTCATCATGGACAGGTTCCATCCATGTAATTAGTCTCTTGCAAATGCACCTAAAGGCAACCCTATTGTAGCCTTTCCTTAGACCCTGCGCAGACTGGGAATTTTATGGGACTGAGATTGCTTTTTTCTTCTTTTTTTTAATCATGGAATGGAGCAAATAACTAAGGGGAGGGTAGCACTAAATGGATTGAAATGGTGGGGATACCCTTTCAGGAGCATCATATGATTTATGAGCATGACAACTCCCCTCTCGAAAGTTTCCACAAGTTCCCTGTGGCAATCCGTAACTAGCAAATTTAATCTGGGATATCTTTTGCCCAGGTGGACACCACAAGTGAGCTTTGGGTCTATTAAGTTTTCCAGAGTCTAGCATCTGCCTGTTCTTTAGGGTTGGCTGCCCTTCATATATATCAGCACACACACTTTCTATGGTTCTTTTCACCAAAGAAATTCCAGTAGGGTCACCTCCCCATTCTTCTAACACAACCAGATAGTTCCCACTTGGGTTCAGCCACGACCGAGGAACATGGTACCTGTCCAATGCCAAAAGTAGGTTGTCATCATATTCACATAACACCATTCACTGTTTGTAAAATAAATTGTATAAACTTTTTACCATCTCTGGGAGGGTTCTCCACAATTTGTCCGGCATTTTTTATCCGTATAAGTTCCAGCATAATAACAATCCCCACAACCACCTCGTGCTATATATCCAGGCCAATGGCGTCCAATGCTCCGACCATTTATCCATACTTGACCTTTTCCCATGCTAATCATATCTAGAGCCAATGGATCATTGCCTGCTGGTGTGCTAAAAGTTGTCTAATGACATTAAATCATAAAATGACTCAGAATTCATTCAGATGCAGGACAGAAATACAACATTTGTTGAAAATTTAATCTTACCTTGTACCATGTCAAAGGTTGTTTTTGAGCCAATAATGATCCTTGTTCCCATTCAACGGAAGTACTCCCACTTACAGTGTGAAGGTTTAAGGCTTCACCTTCGAGACCAATCTGTACAACAACATGCAAATGTGCAAATCTCTTACTACTGCTATTCCCGGAAAGCAAAAGTACATAAAAAAGGAATAACATTATTTTCTCTTTTGCTTCTCTTCTTGGAAAAGTTTGTACCAAAATCTGCTCAACAACCTACATAATGCTCAACCAAAATTAAATATAAAAAAATAAAAAAAAGTACATAATGCTTAAACTATTTCTTAGTGCCTGCACAAGTTAGTTTAACAGCATTTCAATTTTGAATAACATTATGCATTTCTTATCCATCCTACAATTTCTCTGCTAATTGAGTGAATCCTAAAATGGCATAGATGCTTATTTTTCTACGATTTTATGCCTCATTAGTAATCAAGTTTCAACATATATTAACACTCAGTATCTCACTGCTTAGTCTTCACCTTTCAATGTTGCTATTAAGCAAAGCAATACTATATAACAAACCTTGTAAGACCATTTCTGTCTAGATAAGTCTCTGGTTCCCTCATTTAGACCCTCAAGTGTGACTGGGCCTAAGACCCCTGCATTCCAGGTCTCAAAGTGCACGCCAACATTCTGGTATTAATTGAACATACAATAAGATTAAAAATGTAAAAAAATTATGAAAATTTGAAGTTAGAGAAATCACATTAGAAATACGAGGGAACTAACCGGGAGACCCACGGCAACACTAAGTAAAGAAATCTTGTTATTGCCAACCCCCAGCTTAACTCTGTCACTAAATGTTAATTTAGGAAACCCCAATGCCGCGTACACAGTTCCTTCATTCATACAGGAGATGCGTGAGTAAAACTAGAGTTTATTATATCAAAATACTAAACCAAAAAAAAGAAGAAAAATATTAATTTTATTCACCTGAAAGTTGACCATTGATGAAAACATGCAAAGCATGGCCTGCTGACATTACAGTAAGAAGAGGAGATTGTCCATTCTTAATAAAACCTTCACTCGGATCAATGTTGACACTGAAACAAGGGATCTAACATTTATTAGATAGAGAAAGGATATAAAAAGTAATATCAAGAAATGAGCATTCCAATTATTAGTCTTTTATAAGTCAAATGCATCAAATGAAAGATACTTACTCTGTCATATACCACAAATAATCTGTAGAATCTCGGGTGATATTAATCTGCTCCCACAGTGCATATGCTGTAATGGAACCATCTTCACTGGACGATGCAGGTTCTTCATTGTATGACTGCCAAGCAAATGCACTGTTTACAGCAGTCATCTTCATGAGGGAGCTTTGGGCACCAATCTGTATAAAATTGGTAAAATCAATATGAATGTTCATACTAAAAAATCTCAATAAAGCAAATGCCAAATTTGCACAAAATACTATATAATGTTTTTCTGTCCTTGAATAACAGCTCAAGTGTTGAACTTTACAGTTTTTATGAGAAACATGTCAGTGACAGATTCATTCTGCATAAATGATTTCAGCTTACTCTCCATCATTAAATAATTGGGATGAAAATCAAGCTAACCAATTTCGCCTGACGCCTTCAGGCTGAAATTTGGCAAGCTCGATCACCTTTGTTAAATTTAAAGCATAAAACACACACACACTCACACACACTCTTATTTAACATGGACAGAGGTATTGTCTTACCCTTGCAGTGTTGAAAACTGCTGTTTTGCAGTCAGGAAGAATGCTGATAGACCAAGGTGGTAGGTCATATTGCCCATTTCCAAATGTAACATTTGCGGAAGATGTGGTGTCATAATTTGCAAGGAATGCAGCACAAGCACCTGATTCTGTCTTGAAAACGTGTGCCTATGATAATATTAACAAAAATAAACAAATAAATTTTCAACACAGAAGTCAGAAGCCCGTTGGGTATCTTCATAAATCATCTTTAGGGACTTCACCTCCAGGTTATTTCCAGGCCATGTCACCGTGGGATCTACAGAAATTAAAGCTTGCTCACATAGCTTTATTGCTTTGTGCAAATCTCTCAAATGCCCCCATTTTGGTTCATTTAGTAGTCCTGGTATAATTGAACAAGCTTCAGACTACTGTGAAAATATATCTCACTCAACGTTACCCATGTGGTGCCTAAAGTGATTATGTGCAATTTGCTAAACATAATGATCACTTTCCCCCTCCCCCCTCCTAATATCACTCTAGGCAAGTTAAATAAACTTCTATACGTTTTTAAGAGATTTAAACGTGTATGCTGTCATCATCTCCAGCATGCTAACAAATTTAAGCTTATATAATATGCGTACCGTATTCATCAATGGGAGCATCATAGTCATAGCTTGTGGCAATGAAGAGACCGCCAGATGTCCGGTCAAAGTTAGTACCTCCATGGAACTGGACCCAAAAATGACATATTAGACTCAAATTAAACTTTCCACAGCATGAATATGTATAGTGCATAAAAAGGTGGGGAAAATATTGTCAATGGATAAATCATAATTGCAATGGACCAACCTACCATATAGTAGTTAACAAATGAACCACCATTCTGTACGAATCTCGCAACTGAGAATGCCAAGTCTTCTGCTGGTCTTCGAGGGACCGCACCACCAAACTCAGTGTACCTAGAGAACAGGAAACATAAAACTAAATACAGGGTCCAGATAAGGTACTTTTGGCATTTATTTGTATGAGACTTACCAGCCAGTCCAATTCTCTGTCCACATTTTGGGTTTGTAATTTTTGTTGGGAGTGAAGTTTTCGCAGTAGAACCCATTGCAGGTATCAATCTATTGCACAGGGTAAACACATATCGGAGAAAGAAAGAGGCAAGGGAGTAGAATCAATTTACCATTGAAAAACACGACAATATGAGTGTGCCACACAAATTTATTCGAAGAAAATAAGATTTCATTGAGGAAAAAGAGAGCTCCAAATGGGGAACAAAAAAAAAGGGGTTTAGCAAGAGTTGCTTACAACAGGATCAGGAGCATCTTCTTGCTTGCACATAATCCATGGGACGCCAGTATCTAAACCAACAGCCATTTGAGCAGCCCATTTTGTGTAAGCTTTTCCAGGAGCACCAATTTCCCACTCTACTGGTCCAAACTCGTTCTCTATCTGTCATTCAATTGAGAACAGAAAAAGAAAAAGAAAAATACTATTAATTGGTTGGTCTGAAACTTTATAGTAATAAATAAAACATAACAAAATGCAAAAAAATGAAAATAAGAATAATAATCGTATTTAAATCCCATTTCCTTGCCTGAGATAGAATTATTGGACCTCCCTGCACCTGAAACAATTTCTCTGCCTTCATCATGCTGACAATCTTCTCAGTAAATTTTTGCATTGCTGCCTACATCATTACAAAATTGGATGGTTGCTTAGGAAACTGACACAATTTCATGATCAAATAATAGTAATAATAATGAAATTAATTATGATGCCCAAAATTGAAAATTCCAACCTTGAAAGGCTCATTGTCTGTTCTGAAAGCAATATTCGGAACATATTTGAGCCAAACAGGAAATCCCCTGAGTGTCAAACAGAAAGGAATGAAGACCTTTAATTATTGGTTAAGCATTAATGTCGTTTAGCAATACGAATTATCTCCTCCATTTTATATAGAATCATAAAGCAGGTTATCAAAATCATTACCCAAAGTTCCATTCAGCACATATGTAGGGACCAATGCGGAGATGAACATAAAGGCCAGCTTGCTGAACCAGCTTGATGAACTTAACCAAGTCGTACCTATCCTCAAAATAATACTGTTTTTTTTTTTTTTTTCAAAATATATGTATAAAAAAATGGGTGAGCTTTCTATTTAACTTCTTCACAAGTGGAAAAATAATAAAGTAAATAAAATAAATAAGCATTTGCATTACATTTCCAGGAGAAGGCTCGTGTCCATTCCAAAACACATAGGTTTGTATAACATCTAAGCCTCCATCTTTGGCCTTCTGAATAAGGTCTGGCCACATCTGCAGTCACTCAGAGGCAATGAGAAACATAAAGCTGTTTACTTTGTACACCAGAGAAGTGAAAAATCTTTGGTGAATGAATGAAAAACGGGAAGAATAACAGCATATATTGAAAGGAGTGAGTGAGTGAGTACCTCAGGTGTGCTTCTTGGATAATGGATGGACCCGGAGATCAAAATTCTTCTATGCCCATTAACAAGAATGGCTTTGTGATCATAAGTCACAGAGGCTGTGACTGCGGAAACCCACAAAAATAACGTCACGACAAAAAACTTTCCCCTCAGTAAATTCTCCATCAGAACTTGTGAACCCATAACCATCTCTGTTTCTCAAAACAATGGACTTTTGTATGCTTTACACATTTAAAAAAAAAAAAAAAAAAAAACCTCGAAACGAGTTTCTATTTTTGTTTCTTCACAACGCCTTTTTGATTCTTTTGAGATTGAAAAGAGATGGCAGAGACTTTAATTCAATTGTGGCAGTTGAGGTGTGTGTGGTTCTGGTGACAAATATAACTGGTGAGAACTGAGAAGTCTGAAACTAGTTTATATACATTTGAAAAACCAAGGATAGAGCTTCAAGTGTAGGACTGGGACCCATTCTCTCTTTCCTTCCACGGCACTGACCCCACACGGGACTACAATAAACAATCTTTAGGCTTTGCTTTGGCCTTTGGTAAATGTATCTACATTTACTTTACTTTCTTATGATGCGTATACATTTATTAAGACAAAAAAATGTGGTGTTTGGGCGGCCTAAAAAGTGACATATTTCATGGTTGCTCTCACTGCAAGATGTTGCTCCCCTTCCTCGTAAAGAAAGATTCCACGCATGCCCCTACGTTATTTTTATGGGACTTGTGGCCGGAAACAAAAGAGTTCCTGCTCTTTTTTTGGGTTCCACCCATTTGTGAATGTATATGGCCGGAAGCAATTTTGGGTCAGTATAATACTATAATGCAAGTGTCACATCAAATATTTAACTTGAAAAATTCTTTCGATTAAGTTATTATTATTATTTTTTGAACTTTTTACGAAGTACAAAAGTTTAGGGCCTTGGAGTTGGAAGCTTATTATGATTTATATTTCGTTCATATTTTTTTAGAGAAATCATTTTTTCATTTTACATGAATTTTTTTTTTCAAGTTACGCTCACAATACATGAGTGAGTCCCATTTTGATTTTTTTTGTCTTTTTATCTTTTTGTGGACTCAACTCATATATTGTGAGATAACATGAGAAAATTTTTTCATGTAAAATGAAAAAATTAATTCCCATATTTTTAATATATAACTTTTAAATGATTGTAAAAGTGAGTGGCCAATCAGCTTTGTGAAAATTTTAATAGGCGAGAACATTGGTCAATTTCTTCGAGAAGAAAAATAGGCCGAGATTCCATTTTTTTAGTGTAGTAACTAATTAGAATATTCATTTTGGTAGTAACTAATTAGTAAGTTGATTTTTATCTGCCACATATTTTATACTCTTCAAAATATATAGATACTTTTTTTGACACAAACTGAATTATAGGAGATCCATTCTTTTTTTATGAAATGACAGATAAATTTTTATGCAGCAATTGCATACAAGTTAAACTCGTATATATATATATATATATATATATATATATATATATATATATATATATATATATATATATAGAGAGAGAGAGAGTAGGATACTTTGACACCAGTGTCAAATTTAAAGTTTGACACCTCATCTGAGAGTCATTAGATCAAAAAAGATCAACGACTCTGATTTGTAAGCATGTGACACCATTGATCTTTTTTGATCTAATGGCTCTCAGATGAGGTGTCAAATTTTAAATTTGACACTGGTGTCAAAGGATCCTACCTCATATATATATATATATATATATATATATATATATATATATATATATATATATATATAAAGAGTATTATACTAGGGGTGACAATTTGGGTTGACCCGCCTCGCCACCAACTCGCCAAAAACGGGGCAGGGCGGGTTGACCCGCCAAAAAATATGAGTTGAAAAAATGAACCCACTCCGTTTTATGGTGGGTTGACGGGTTGGTGGGTCAACCCACCAACCCGCCAATTAAAAAAAATTAATTAAAATTTAAAAATAAATTATATTTTATGAATTATTCTAATATTATTTTATTTTATTTCACACTTCTCTATATTTTTTTAGTCTCAATCTTAAATATATAATAATATTTGTCAAACATTCTTTAGAAATTTATATATAGATAACATTTGTCATAAATAAAATTGTTATTTTTTATTTTTCTAGGAAGTACTAAGATAAAAAAAAAATTGAATATCACAAAAATTTAAGGACTAATGAAATACTACCTAATTGTAAAAAAAAAATAAAAAAATTATAACCCGGCGGGTCAACCCGTCCCGCGGCGGGTTGAACCCGTTTTGACTCACTTCTAGGCGGGGCGGGTTGAGGTGGGTTGGTGGATTGAAAACCTCAACGCAACTCGCCCCATTTTGGCGGGTTGGCAGGTTGACCCGCCGGGCTCAACCCATATTGCCACCCCTATATTAAACTACTAGGGGACGTTTGGTTCAGGAAATTTTTTTGGAATAATAGGGAAATGAGATAGCTAGAAAAATGATTGGAAAGATAGATAAAGTGAGATAGGTAGAAAAATGTAAAAAAAAAAAGTTGTTTGGTGTGGAAAAACTTTACTGGGAAAATTATGTAACTTTATGAAATCAATAGTGTATTAAAAGCCAGATAACCGGTTTTTCGAAAAATCCCACCTTCAAATTGAGTTTATAAACAGTGCGGATATCTATCTTTCTTATAAATCTAGACAAATTGGATAGATGGGTTTTTGGTGAAAAACGTTGAAACAAACATGGTATTTTTAAAAGCCATACTTGAGAAACATAGATATCTTCTAAAAAATTTCCAACCAAACACCACCCTAAGGGTGTGTTTGGTACAGGAGAAATTTTTTGGTGACCGGGAATCATGATTAATGGGAACTCAGTAGAAATTGAGTTTACTTGGAATCTTACGAAAGAGGTGTTTGATTCGTCAAAATATTACCGGGAATATTGGGTAAAAATTACTGATTCCATATTTGGTTTAGAACGAAATATGACTTGGAATATGAGGTTATTTTACAAAAATAACCCCAAACTATTTTTACTTTTGTAATTGATAGATTGGGTCTAGATTTTTATGTGTATTGGGGTATTTTTGTCTCAAAATTTATTATTGTGCTCTCCCTTTTGTTTGGTATTCTGATTGGTATTCCGAATTACCATATTATTTTTGGTAATCTGAATAGTGACTTTTCTTTATAAATTAAATTAACGGTAATCCTTGGATATCCGGGAATCGTAATTTATTCCTTCTACCAAACGTGGTAATTACATTTACCAAAGAAGAATTACCGATAATCCTCTTCAAAAACTTGAAACAAACACCCCTTAATGATTTCTCTTGCGAAAAATCTATTAAAGAGGTAAAGAAACAAGTGGCGAGGATTTTCTGAATTTGCTCCTTCAATTGGAATTGAAAGGATTGGTTCGTATAATCGTGTACCAAAAAAAAAGAGAAAGTAAAAAAGAAAGGATTGGTTCGTGAACGGAAGTCAAGTTGCCGCATCTGAAAGGCTGAAACAACCCTCCTACTGACTGTGGCTGATTGGTTTGCTAACCAAGCTCATCTTCATAGTTGGGATACTTTAATCTTCAACAACCCTCCTACTGACTGTGTGCAGAGGCTAAAGAATGACTTCCAGGCTATCTCTTGGCCTAGGACCATAGCTGTTAGCTAGTTGTTTTTATTTTCCTGTATCTCCAAAAAAAAAAAAAAAAAAGGCTGAAACACGTGTACCGATGAGGCAAATCCTTTGACTGCAAGCATTTTCCGTTTTTGAATTTGGATCCTGGATCCCGGATCCTTCATTCTCACAAACCAGTCATAACATGCCACATGTTCACAAAAAGGTTGTGCCATAATGCATAAACTCATGAATACCGAGGAATGAACAAGTATTTTAAATTTCTTCTTTCGATCTGTTTCGGGAGAAGTTTTTAGAAAAAATTTATAACACCAAACTCCTTTGGCACAGGTGGTAAGGAGTCTGGGTCCCTTAATCAGAGGTCTTGAGTTTGAATTCTGAAAATGAAAAAAAAAAAGATTTGAGAGAGTCGCCCCCGAAAGAGTCCGACAGTGCTCGATTGAGGATTAGTCTTCAATTACGGCCGGAGGATACCCTTCAGATTACTGAAAAAATTTATAACTATATGCATGTACTTTTTTAATAAATAAAAATTTAAATTAGGGGAAGGTATTTCCCCTTACAAGGTCAATGATAGATTACCAATGATAATATTGTTGAGACTTGAGATATCAGTTATGAAATTTAATAGGTGTTTTAATGAATTTTTGTTGATATAATTAAGTCGGTCTCTTCATTAGTTGTTATTACTGATATAATGAGTTTTTATTAGAGTAATGAGACTATGAGTTCATGTGCCTTTTTATTTTTTCTTTCAACTTTTTGTATAATCTATAATAGACTTATATTATTTGCTTTATGAAATACACAACAACGTTACCATATTCTAACAAATATACTAGGTGTGCTAACCCTATGTAACTTTTAACATGTATAAAGTTTTACTAATACAAACATATATTTTTAATGTGACTCGTGTAAAGCAACTATCTCAATTTAAAGCGGTTAGGTGAATGCTTTTTTAAATAATTTATTATACATTAACATGCTTTCTCACAAAAAAAAGTCATTTTTTTTTTTATAGATCACAAAAGAGTCATTGAATTTGAAAGGTGAATGATATACTAGACCCAGTTTATATGTGTTGAGAAAATTCACAAAAAAATAGGAGACGAGGATTGAACCGGAGACACTAAGATTATGATACATGTAAAGCAATCATCTCTCGTAAAAACTTAAGCTATTAGATGAAGACCTTTTTAATAATTTATATTATACTTTAACAACTTGTATAAATGCACATACTTCATATTGTGATTTGCAAGTTAAAGTAGACAATTCTCATTTGCGTACATTTGAATACAATACAATTTCACGACCATTGAAAGCAAAATGCAAAGGATACAGGGCCACGCCCTTTTCTAATTTCAGCTTAACAAACTACGATTCTGGGATAGATTTTGTTCCGGCGTAGTTACCCACGACTATGACCCCAACATTAAGTTCAGTTCTTCAATAATAGAAATAACAAATATTTTTTGTTCCAATTGAATTCGTCGTTTAAAACAACAATAATTGTCACGGATTATTGCAATGATTGCCAATTTGTCATATTGAATTCATACACTGCTTAAAGACAAATATGAACTGATCAGTTATGGCCCATGATTTGTACTAATCAATATGAACGCGGCCACGTTCTGGCAAATATAGTGTTAATTATAATCAAACTAGAAAAT